ACAATCTAAGTATATACAAACTAAGGTAATTGCTGTGAATCTTATTGTGAATTACGACAAAATTCAATATCAATTTGGTAGGTAAAGAATAATAGCAATCAAAATAAATGGTCTTTAACAATAATAATCCGTACGCAAATAATATAACAAAATAAGGCAAGAAAGAACTGAAGGTTTGTTTACCTAGTTTGGTCAAATGATCTACTAGTGAAATATAAAACATATAGACACAAATAAAAGATACAAAGAAAAGTGCTTGGTGATCTCTGCAAAGCCAAACCCAAGGATGAAAGGGCTAGAAGAGAACCAAGTTTGTCATCTTGATGCAGTGTGAAAATGCAAAGGAGGTGGGATTTTAAGGGTAAAAATTAGGGTATAATAGTACTCATCCTCACACGATGACAACTCTATTACTAGTTTCTTTCTTGCACTCTAAACAACTGATGCACCACCTAACATAAACACATAACTAGCTATGGGTTTTTATCCGCAATCAACATCACCAAACCAACTTGAGTCGGTGTATCCCACTAGTTTGCACTCTTTTCCTTCATTTACTGCCGAAAATAAAATTCCATAATTGAGATTTCCTTTGAGATACCTAAGTATCCTCTTTGTGGCTGCTAGGCGTGATACCTTTGGCTTCTGCATGAATCTATTCACCATACCTACAGTGTATGCTAGATCTAGCCTTGTGTGAAAAAGGTATCTTAATGATCCAATTATTCTTCTATATTGAGTAGCATCAACATCATCTTCATCTGAGTCCTTCGACAATTGCAGTCTTGGTTCAACAGGTGTCAAAGTTGCATTGTAGCTTTCCATCTCAAATCTTTTGACTATCTCAGTTGCATATTTTATTTGATGCATCACCAAACCTATACTACTCTTGTATAAATCTATACTAAGGAAATATGAAATGTTTCCTAGATATGACATTTCAAACTCCTTGCTTAGATCACCTTCGAAGTCTCCGATCTCTTTTTTGTAGCTTCATGTTATCAACAAGTCATCAACATAGAGACATAGTATAAGCAGTTCACTCCTGCTTCTACAGACATATACTCCATGCTCAGTTGTGCACATCATAAATTCCTTCTCCCTTAGGAAACTATTTATCATATTATTTTAAGCTCTTGAAGCTTGCTTGAATCCATATAGGGCTTTATGCAGCCTGTATACCTTTCTTTCTTAGCCTTGTTTCACAAGCTCAACTGGATGTGCTACATAAACCTTTTCATATAAGAGGACATTTAGTAATTCACATTTCACATCCATTTGATATATATACCAGTTGTTCATGTTTGCTAGACCAACAACCAACCTGATTGTTTTGATCCTAGCAACTGGCGTAAACACTTTGTCAAAGTCGTTTCTTTCTCTCTAAAGAAATCATTTAGCTACTAGTCTTACTTTGGGTTTGGTTACTTCTCCTTTTGGAATCAACTTCACTTTATAAACCCACTTCACATTAATTTCCTTCTTGTCTTGTGGCAACTGGATAAGTGACCAAGTTTTGTTCACTTTTATGGGCTTTAGTTCCTCCATCATGGCTTGCATCCACTTTGATTCCTTCATTGCCTCAGTTACATTGATTGGCTCAGTATCTACATAGAAAGCATATTGGACAAGTCCTCCTTCATCATCGACCACATCATCTAATGTAACCACACATTCTTGCAACCTTGCAAGCATGTTTATTGTTCGTTGAGGTCTGCTTGAGTTCTGACTTATTCTTGTTAAACTTCTTTATCAACTTCATTTTCTAGTTCATCACATAAGATTCTCACTGAAGTCTTCTTGACACTGTCTTTCCAGTCCCACTCCTTCAGCCCATATATGAGCATGTTATTGATCATAACTTGCTTGTTCAAGGGATCGAACACCACAAGTCAAATGATATCATATCAGAACCATTTGGCTACACTTGTCATCAAGCTTTCTTTTCATTTGATCAGACACATGTCTGTGTGCTATAGACCTAAACACCTAAAGATGACTTAAGTTAGGCTTGAAACTAGGACAACATTCTTCTGGTGTGATTTCTTCTAGTTTCTTAGTCGGACATATGTTCAGGATGTATGTTGTAGTCGATACAACGTTCTTCTGGTGTGATTCCTCACCATGTTCGTGATGATCCTATTATTCCTCTATACAATTCCATTTTTCTAAGTGTAAGGTGAAATCACCTCATTCACAATCCGTTCTTTCTCACACAATGTATCAAAATCATTTTACTCATATTCTCCACCACCATCAATCCTCAGAGTTTTGAGATTTCGAATGCTTTATCTTTCCACCATAGATTTAAACTTTGTGAAGACCTCAAGCACATCACTTTTCTTCTTGAATAGGTAAGTCTATATTTTTTGATTGAAACCATCTATAAATGTGACAAAGTATCTATTACCTTCAATCGAATATACCTAGATAGAAGCACACACATATGAATATATTACTTCAAGAATTACCTTGACTTGCTTCCTCCGCATCTTTGTTGAAGCTATTCTTGTGTTGCTTTGCGTGAACACATTCTTCACACATTTCATCTGGAATGTCAATTTTTGATAATCCTGAAACCGTGTTTCTTCTCTTTAGACTTATGATGTCTTTGAAGTTTAGATGGTCAAGTCTGTAGCGCCATAACCATTCATCTCTGCTAGCTGCAGTTACTAGAAATGTTTTCTCCATCATATTAAGTTGAATCTTGAAGATCCTATTCTAATACATAAGTGCCTTCAAGATTAACCTACCACCTAAATTGAGAATTCTCATCATCTTATCTTTGATCAACACGTTGTAATTCTTCTTGATCAGTTGCCCTATGCTGAGCAAATTGCGTTTCATGCCTGGTATGTACAATACATTGGAAATTAGTGACTTTTTTCTATCTTTCTCCATAATAAGAACATCACCAATACTTTTAGCAGCCAAGGTATTATCATTTGGAAATTTTACCTTGCTATTCATTGAAAGAATCACGTTGACAAACCAATCTTTCTTTCCAGTCATGTGTGACGAGCATCTTGAGTCCAAGTACCATTGGTTCATGAATATTCTTCATCTTTTATTGTGACCATCAATAACATCTCTTATTCTTCATGTTTTGCAAGTCTTGCATCATTTTCTTGATTTTCTTTCTTGCCTCCTTGACATTAACTTGCACAATATCCATACTTCTGACAGTTGTAACACTAAATATGGCTATTGTCAGGTTTTCTTCCATCGTCTATTCCTCTACATATAGCACCACCTATGTGATTTCTTTGGTTTAAAGATTGTCTCTGATTTGATAAACTAACTTCTTATTGATTTCTTCTACTAGTCGAATTGTTGTAACTTCTTCTACCTTTGTTACCATTCCATCTTCCTCTGTCTTTTTTTTTCTTTTGCTGAATACACCTGCAAAGTTACATCACTCTTTGTCTTGCTTGCACATCTTTTATCCATTCTTTGTTCATGAGATTTAAGCGTCCCTTGAAGCTCTTCTTCTGTCATGCTTGACAAATCCTTCGATTCTTCTATGGCTACTATCACATGATCGAATTTTGAAGTCAATGACCTTAAAATCTATGTAACTAATGATCTTGATGTCAACACTTCTCCATACATTTTGATTTAATTCACCTGTCTTGTTACCATAGTGAAGAAATCAACGATACTTTTACTTTCTTTCATCGGAAGTAATTCATACATTCTTTTGTGAGTATGTAACCTCACCTCTCAGCACCTCTAAACGATTTCGCCGCGATGTCCCATGCTTCCTTTGTTGAGTCTACATCACCAACTTTCTAAAAGTTGTCTGGATCAACAGATTGGTGGATTATACAGTTTATTTTATAATCTTTCTTCTTCAAATCTTTATGTGAAATCTTTTGTTCATCCATAACATTCTCTCCAATTGGTGTTACTTCATTCTTCCCAAGATCCCAAAGATCTTGATAACAGAAAACAACCTTCATCTGCTTACACTAATTTTCGTAATTCTTACTATTCAAGATTGGAAGATTTGTTGGAAAATATCCATTCAGATGTGAAGTCATTGCGCCATGCCTCCCAAGAATCGTAACCAGAGTTCTAGATACCAGCTGTTGAAATTAATCATAATCTTGAAGATAGTTCAAATCATTCATGATTGAACGAGAATCAATCTCTTTAATTGATTGTTCCTCACTCGTCACTTGAGTGATTCAACCACACCTTAATTGCAAGTTGATTCCGCTGCACAATGATTCAAAAAGAAAAGAAAACTATGAAAGAGAATTGGGGAGAAGAGAAATTAAAGTTTTTGTGAGAAAAGGAAAAAAATAGATTAAATTGTACAGAGTTTCTCTTAGCATTTATTCAAAGTGAATTTATCTTATTCAACAATTACTTACGATAATAAGATACATCCTTATTCATAGATTAGACTACTTGCACACTAAATAATATTTAACTAATTTAATTAATAAATGATAAGTTTTAGCTTTGTCAAAATTAACTCATTTGACAACTAATTATTTCGACTATTATCAAATATAATCAAATTCGACTATGTCAAATGTTTATTATTAATTGTTATTAGTTACACGATAAAACTATAAAGTCACTTACTCACTAGGAAGTACAAATTTCAATTTTCACAAGATTTAAGTACATCCAAAAAAAATTTTGTCAAAAAAAGTACATCCAAAAAAATAAAACGACACTAAATTCACTTAATTCTATTAAATATTTTAAATAGTTTTAAAAATAAGTTTCGGTAAAAAGATAGAAATAGCGCATTGTTTTTTAAAACAGGGATTGCGAAAAAGGGTAGGTTAGTTTTAACGAAGCAAGCGTTATTTTAACGCTTATATAAATTATATAAATATAAATATAAGACGGTGTTTTTGAATCCGGATCTAGCGCCTTCTATTCACCTCTTCAAAACCCTATTTTTTATTCATTCCTTATCTTCTTCTACCTTTCTTCTTCCTTTGCTCTTCTGTGTTCTCGATTCAATTCGATTCACCACAATGGCCAAAGGAGCTAAGAGAAAGACCAAGCACACTGAAGATTCCAAACCTGATTACGAACCTGCTACAGCTACAGGTTCATCGCAGGAAAACGAAAGCCAAAATCAAATAACCAAAGTGCCTCCCAAAGTAAAGCGTGTTAAAACCTTAAAACCCCAATCTGAGCCGGAATATTTTGAAGATAAACGCAACTTGGTTCGATTTTCAACTCTTAATCTCCGTTGTTAATGTTTTTATTTTTTTTATATATTATAATCAGTGTTTATTTGAAATTTGAAGTTTTTGCATATTGTGTAGCTTTTAATGCTAAGAAAAATTGTTTTTTTTTTTTTAAAAATATTATTAAGAAGGATGTTTGCAATTCTGGAGTTCTTTTAAAAATTGTTTTGACTATTTAGGTTATTTGAATAAATTTGACCTAACTGGGTTTTTTTTTTTGTTGAATTTGGTTTTGTAGGAGGATTTGTGGGTTGAAACATTTCCTGTTGGAACTGAGGTTTGTTGATTTTATTTGAATTTTTTTTATTGTTTTATAAGATATACTTGGTTTGTGTTTTTGTTTTTCTGACTGCATTTTGTTGTTATGGCAGTGGGATCAATTGGATTCCTTGTATGATATCAAATGGAATTTCTCTAATTTAGAAGTGAGTAATTGGCCTGCTTAGATTTCTGTTGATAATCAGTGCTTTATTTGATGGAATTGCTAATGATATTTGTGGTTTGTGTGTATTTTTTTTGTCTTTAGAATGCATTTGAAGAGGGTGGCTTGTTGTCTGGGAAGAAGGTTTACCTCTTTGGTTGCACCGAGCGTAAGTAGTCTGTGAACTTTCTTTGGTGTTTTCATAATTTTGTGAGTTGGTTAGGCAACTAATGTTATTGGTAGGCAATCCTCTTATTTGGTCACATTTAGCTTACATTGTTCTTATGCATCCTGTTGTTGCAGCTCAACTGGTCATGCATAAAGGGGAAAATAAAGTTATCTGCATTCCGGTTGTTGTAGCGGTAAGTTTTCAAATTGGGTTATCTACATGTATCATGAAGAATTACTACCAAGCTAATAATTTTGTTTTCATTTGTTTTTCATTAAACATTGACAATTCAGACTTCCAATTATGCACAATTCAATAGTAACAATAATGATATCTGTTTTCTGGCCATAGCATTGTTTGACCAATTGAGTTGGTTCTACTCAACGGCAAAAAGCTTTGATATATTGTTGTAACTAGTTACACATTTCTTCTGAGTTTAATTTGATGTATCTCCTTGTAGGATCTAGTTTCTTTGGTACTTAGAATCATATCCTTAGCGATTTAGTTGTTATTTGAAAATATGAGTTTACTAGTGAATCGATCTTTCAATTTTGATGTGCTGAATATTTTTTCACTGTGATTTTGATTCTAAATATATTGACTTTTTTTCTGTTAACAGGTTGTATCACCTTTTCCACCATCTGATAAAATTGGGATTAACTCCGTTCAGAGAGAGGCTGAAGAGATAATTCCCATGAAGCAAATGAAAATGGACTGGGTTCCATACATTCCTCTGGAGGACCGGTACTTATCCCAGCCTGTTTATTTGTTTACTTTCAGTGGTTCCTTTGGTACACCTATATGAAATAATGCTCCTTGGTCACCTTTCAACTTTTTAATTTTAATTTTATATCTTCAACAGAGATAGCCAAGTGGAAAGACTGAAGACTGAAATATTTATACTTCGTTGCACGCAAAGAAGGTATAGTTTTATTCTTTCTTTGCCCTTTTCCTTCAACATCAATACTCATTCTTTTAACAAAAACATGAAGACTCATTAGTAGTACCGATTTCAGATAATTCTGTTGAAGAATATCTTTTCTCAAAGAGCATTATCTTCTGTTGAATCTTGATAGGCTTCTGTTTTACTGCGTGAATTTTTTGTTGCCCTTAATCCTTTTAAGAAATAGATTGTTTTGTTAAATATTCTTTTTATTCTATTCATTGCATTTCTTTCAAGGCGAGTAGAGTTGCATGTAGAGATGTTTATCCACACACTATTGTCCTGTTGTCCTCAATATAACAAATTCTTGAACATAATTTCATCCTAACTCTATCATATATGTGGTACAGGTCTGCTTTAAAACACCTGAAGTTGGATAGATTAAAGAAATACGAGTACTGCTTGCCTTGTAAGTTTTCTGGCTTTATAGAGTATTACAGTTTTCTATCTACTATTGAATAAAGTTTTGTAAAGTTTGAATAAATAGTTCTAATGAAGTGAGAATGAGGGACTGTTATAGACCCTAGTATTGTTTGCTTGATCAATTATTATTGCTTCTTTTGTCTGAGGCATACTAGGTTGTCATCGGTTAATGTTTTTGTTAAGATAGTTACTCATGAGTGCTATTTTTTCCACAGATTTCTATCAGCCCTTTAAGGAAGATGAGTTTGAACAGAGCACTGAGGTTCCAATAATCTATCCAGTTGAGCCAAAACCGGTAATTATGATTTAAATATTATCCTATAGGTTTGACAGTCTTTGGATTGTTTGGGATTTTTTTTTTCTAACAGTTATGGCTATGTAAATGTTTTTTATAAATATCTAAATTACTCTTTGTTCTATAAGCAACTTATGTATATATTGCTATATTGCTTGTTGCAGGTCTTCTGTGAGTTTGATTGGGAATTAGACGAACTTGAGGTAATGAATTACCCATTGTTCTATTTTTCTTAGTATTGGCATTATTCTGCAGGAAGATATATACTGGCTGTTGTTTTCATAATCATTGTTGTTTACACTAAATGGCTGCATGTTACTATGTCATTGAGTTCTAGGAAATTTTAACTTAACTGTGGTGTGCAAATGGGATTGTTAGACATATGATTAAAGTGGTTATCTTATTTATCATTGATGTGTTTCATTGTTTATCCACCTTCTTGCCCCTTGAAATAAAGATGGCTATAGGACTCTTACACTCGTATGCTCAATTTTCTGCAGGAATTCACCGATAAGCTTATCGAGGCAGAAGAGTTATCAGCAGACCAAAAGGACGCCTTCAAGGTAGAAAGAAGAAGATATTTTGTTGATTCATTATTCATATTGTCACTTCTTTTATGTGACAAGTTTGTTTGATCCCTTTCTTTCTTTTTAGGAATTTGTCAAAGAAAAAGTTCGGGAAGCAAAGAAAGCCAACAGAGAGGTACTTTTCGGTTATTTGTGCTGTTGGGGCAGTGCACATATTAGGCCGTTTTCTGCTTTGTTTAACCTTCCTATTCTCTTGTAGGCAAGGGAGGCACGGAAGAAAGCCATCGCAGAAATGAGTGAGGAAGCTAAAGCTGCATTTGACGCCATGAGATTTTATAAGTTCTACCCTGTTCAATCTCCAGATGCACCTGATGTGTCTAGTGTTAAGGTAGAATATTAAGTTTATTATTACACACTCTGAATTTCTGTTGATTGTGTCTGGAATGAATTTTACTCTCACTTAACATTTACTGATAATATACTTGTTTGTTTTTGCAGTCACGGTTCATAAACAGGTATTACGGAAAGGCTCACGAGGTTCTCTGAATGGCTCCAAGACAATTATGGCAATTTTCTTGGCTTGTTTTGCCGGTTTTTTATATGACGATTACAAGGAAGCACCATGGTGCCCCATAAAATCTTCTTTACCAAAGTAACTGTCCAAAGGTTCATAGAATGTGAAATTGTAAGCTCAGAAATCCTAGAAAAGTGAACTAGGTGGTGAGGGTAATTTAGACATGTTTCTGCATTCCATTTTGTAGAGAATTTCTGATCAGCTTGAGCTCCAATTCGCATTGCTCTTAGCTTGTCTTTGTATTCTCTTATGAGTATTTATTTTTCCTTCGAATTAAATTTATGACAGTTTTGACTTAGATCTATGATAAAATAATTTCTTTCATTTTCCTCACAGATTTATTTCTGTTAAAGTAACAGTTTCATTTTTATTATTTGAAATAGAATTCGGAAGCTGCTAAAACAAGTAGTTTATCATTAAGGCATCATTAGCTATTGTTGAAAAATAACTGCAGTGATGCAAAGGTTTATTTTGTTTGGCAAAGGACTAAAACAACAAGTAGTATATCACCAAACATGATTTAATTTTCACAATAATCCAACTTCCTCTACTTTACACATTCACTTTAATAGCTACTGAAATTGGAGAATTTTTTTTAAAACTAACCAATGTTTTAAAAAAAAAAACCAAATAAAATAAGTTTTTAAAATATTTTTTAAAGTGGCTAGAATTCAACATGCATGCACCATATATATGACTGAACCATGCAAGTTAAGTCATAACTGATTCGCCATATGATATGGTGAAAGAGGTAAAAGGAAAATTCGATTTTCTTTTAAAGGATTCGTCAAATGATAATTGGCGAATCAAAATCAGTTCATTGTGTAATTTTTTTTTGTTTTCGCTAGTGTTTTTATTTTTGTTTCCTATTTTTGTTTCTTTTTATTTTTATAGATTTTATTTTTTGTTTTTTTTTAATTTTAGTTTTATAACGTAATTAAAATAATATTTAAAATTTAAATACTCTAAAAGAATATAAATGAAAGAAATAGTAAAATATATTAATTTATAATAGAATATAAATTACAATTGATAAAAAAAATTAATGACTGACTTTATCTAAACAACCACCGGTACCACATTGTGGAGGATGCGCGCAGCGACGAGGTCTACCACGAAGTTGTTGAGGTGTGTCCGGTTTTTGGATGTTGACCTGTGGAAAAGGTATTTGTTCTGATGGCCCCGACGTATCAAATAAATTTTGAAGCATTTGACCCCAATAGCCGGGAGGGCCACTATCAACGGCGCTTCCGTAAGTAAGCCCAATGTCCATGTGTTCGTAGGATTGTCAGGGAGGTTGGGTGGAGTATGGACGGTATGGTTGTCCGAATCGGTACATCGAATCGGTTTGGAAACGATGTATTGGTTGTTGTGGGGTTTGGTATTCGAAAAGTGGATAGGTGGAGGAGGTAAGGTCAAAAGAGTTATCTGGGCTATAGGTGGAGGGAGTATGGTCAAAAGATGTATCAGGGTTATATGGGTAAGACTGTTGTTGTGATTGGGTTGGTGACATGTATGGGTTATGGTAAGGTTGATGTTGGGCATTTGGTTGCTGATGTGGAGTCGAGGAAGACGCACGTTGTCTCGGGTCAATCAAATATGTCGGCTCAGACAGAAATGATTGTGATGTTGTAACCAACCTAAACCAAATCATATATTGATAACTTGGCCTAGCCCCTTCCATAATAGGGTCGGTTAAGATGTGTTGACGTCGGTTCTTCCAATGCTGACACATCTCTTTCGCAAAGTCCTTTCAATGACCAACACTCCATTGTGAATCCAGCTGTAGCTGATGCCAATGTCCCAATGACGTTGGAGCATCTGGAATATTCTGATGCATCCTAAGCTGTAGTTTCACCCGATCACTTTGGTGCATCTCCACTGTTTTGAACCTAATGATGGATGTTTTGGATGTCCACACAGCAACATCATCGACGTTGGGTTGGTGGTCGAGACCCTCGTACGACATCCAGATAAACTACAATAACAATATACGCAATGAGAAATACAAGTTTGTGTTTATAAATTAGACAAAGTAAAGGTAGATAAATTACATCATTTGGTCAAATGTGTTTGATAAGGTTGGGTACACGACTATGGAGTTCCTGGGACATCTTTGGTAATTCATCCCCGAAACAGACCACCTAAAAAAAAAGAAACAAAAATAAATTAGACACTAAGACACATCGTACAAATAATTAAGTTACAAAGAAACTTTGGTTGTAAATTCGTCTTGAAAATAAACTTGTTAGCATATGGGAATGTAAATGGATTGCGGTTGATTGGAGCAAGTGTTGGCATTCTAGACCAACCCCACGCTTGAAGGAGATAGGCACAACCATAAAAAGTACAAGAATTTTTTTTGCATTTTTACATAGTGCACTATATAGATGGGCGAGGACAGTTGATCCCCAACTATATGTGCACACTTTGTTTATGTTATGCAACAACGGTAAATACATAATATTAACAGTATTTCCAGTACTGTCTGGAAATAAAAAATGGTCAAACAATATCATAATATAACACCTAGTTTTAAGTATTTTCTCATACTCGGTGGACTCCTCATTTAAGACAATACTATTGTAGTGTTGTCTGAGGTATTTCAGATTAATAACTTTGCCCCTTGGTCGACCCTCACGTTCTGGTTGAGTTGTGTCCACACAAAGAGGGCGCCCAGTAAATCTTCACAAAGTTGGTCGTTAACACCAATTTTGTCGTTGACAGCCTTACCATTGATGTGTAGGCCAAGTAACATGTAAACATCCTGAAGAGTTACAATACACTCACCGAAAGGTAGGTGAAATGTGTGTGTCTCTGGTCTCCAGCGTTCTAACAACGCTAGAATAAACTTGGGATCCAGTGAGTACGATTTGATTTTAATCAAATCACCGAACCCACATGCTTCAAGGTATCCCTCTATTAAAGGGTTGTGTGGTATGTAGTCATGCACACGAGAACGAAATCTTGATGCATCCTGCAAAAGAATTTAAATGCCATTAATTTTAAAGAAGAATTAAACTTCGTAAACATAGACAACAAAAAGAAAAATACTTACAAACTCCGCGATGTTCTCAATTGTGCCTCTGTGAGAGTTGCCCATTGCTAGTAGAGACATTGTGGGTTAAGAATTTGTTGGGTGAAGAATTTGTAGAACGTATGAGGATGAGAAGAGTTTGCTGGGATGAGAAGAGTTTGAGAGTATGAGGATGAGAAAAGTTTGCTGGTATGAGGATGAGAAGAGTTTGCTGGGATGAGAAGAGTTTGAGAGTTGATGAACCTCTATTTATAATCCTCGAATGCTATGAGAGTAATGTGGTGTTGACGTGCATGCAGAGCAAGTGTCAAGAATGCATGCGACCTGAAAATACATGCAAAGCAAGTGTCAAGCATGTATGTGACCTGGAAATGCATGCAGAGCAAATGTTAAGCATGCATGTGACCTTGAAATGCATGCATATCAAATGTCAAGCATGCATGTGAGGCGTGCAAGTTTAGTCTTGTCTTCGAAGTGCATGTTGTGGTGTTGTCATGCATGCAGAGTGTTGTCAGGCATGCATGTGACATGGATGAAGGGAGGCGTGCAGGTTTAGTCTTGTCTTGGAAGTACATGTTGTGGTGTTGTCATGCATGCAGAGTGTTGTCATATATCTAGTCTAATTTATATACAAAAGAGAATCCTCTGAACATATAATCCTTCCGTTTTACATTATAAACAAATTTTATTTTATTTATTTATTGAACAATTAATGCATCTAATTTATATATAAATTAAATACATTAATTATTTAATAAATTGAGAAAATAAAATTTTGTTACAATATAATTTTTTTTTTCAATATGATGAACTAGAGTTACATTAGATAAAATATAACAAATCAGAAAACATTTTGAACTCGATTTAGGCTTGTCTTGGAAATGCATGCTGTGGTGTTGTCATGCATGCAGAGTGCAGTCGGTTACTGTAGCCATGTGTACACATTTATTAGTAAGAATCTCATAGGCCTGCATAGAGTCAGAGTGTAGACGTTAGACATGCAGGGAATCAGAGTGCAGACGGTATGCAATCATAGTGTAGACGGTAGACATGTAAAGTTCTCTCGGTTACTGTAGCCAGAGTGCAGATGGTAGCCAGAGTGTAGATGGTAACCAGAGTGTTGTCTTGTCATGCAACTCACTTTGTAGGCACGCGAAGTGTTGTCTTGTCATGCAGCTCACTTTGTAGGCACGCAGAGTGTTGTCTTGTCATGCAACTCACTTTGTAGGTACGCAAGATTTTTTCTTGTCATGCAGCTCACTGCTATTAATACAGTAGAGAGATCTGAATTATTATCATATCAATTAGTAAAACAATCCCTTCAAACACAATTTTACTAAAACATTAGCTATGTCTCAAACACCACAATACATGATTAATGCACATCTAAATTGTGAGGTTTTTGAATGTAACATAGCTGGTTATAATTTCAGAAATACTGATGTTACGAGATTTTTGATTGACAGAAGGTCAAATTTTTTACACTTGAATTCAAGATTAGAAAAAAACTGCAATGTGGTCCAGTTGGCCGACACGCTGAAGTTTTTTACGACAACAACAACAACGCTAAAAAACAACCATATGTGGTCTTAAGTGTATATGTTATGTTACAACAACAACAACAGTCTCAACAACTTGATTCTTCTCAAGTTTTTTACGAATCTGATGAGGAACACACTGAAGTCAATGTCATTGATGATGAAGAAGAAACAGCTGAAGTCACTGTTGACGACATGGTGAGCAACGAGGAAGAGGGGGTTCCACCCGGACATGTTTATTTCCCACCTCAACACATGACAATTCTCGACTTATGTGACGATGAACCCTCAACAGATGTTTTTTACAACCCGAACTACGCAACAGAAGGACTATTAAAAGAGGGTGACGAGTTTCGTACAAAAGAAGATTGTGTCTGAGCAATTAAACAATATCACA